CCTTCTAAACTTTCTAAGCTGCAACATCTAAAATCCTAAAAAAAAATTCTGTAACAGTAAAAAGCCAGAAATATTTTGAGAAAAAATATCAGAGGGAAAAAGTATAAAATTAATTTTATAGAGAAACTGAATATACTGATAATCCTGAATACTCTGAGACATTGGAAAAACTTTTACCATGAAAAAATTTAAAAAGACATTTTAGATTATTTACATAGCTATTTTGCTTTTGCTAAAACTGTTTCGTTAATCGTTTCTTGCTTATTTTGCAGATTCAAAATTTTGTATAATAAATGGCCAAAATGGAACTTTATAATATGACAGCGAAAATTAAAGTTTTATTTTAATGTTATTTTTAAACATAATTTCAATATTTTACCACTATTTTAATGAAAATTATCCATGTTACAAAGTTTTAAAAAAATGTCGAAAAATTCCCAGATCTCAAATTTAAAAATTTTCTATAGAAACTGATCTTAAAATCGCCAAAATGCTGATAATTTGCCGAATTCAGAGTCGTTTAATAAAAGAATTCACATCCCGAAAAGCCAAAAGTTGTTTAAGAGCTCTTCGTTAAAAAAAATGAAATCATTTCAAAATACTTATGCTGCACTTCTTTTACTGTAAAACTCGAAAATCCCACGATTTATATTAGAAATAGGAACGAATTATAATCCATTCACCCATTCAAAAGATAACCATATCTGTCAGTTGAATCACCAAAAATATTCCTCTAAAATGCTAATTCACACTCAAAATAGCAGTCATGAAAAACAGACAGCTATTTCCGATGATTAAAATTAAGGATTCTGCCGATTTTGGCCGAAAATAAGGACTTTTAAGGACCAAAAATCGATTCCAAAAAACTTGAGGACTTTTAAGGGCTCTTAAGAACTGTACGAACCCTGACCTACCACGAAAAGTTTCATTAAGATAATTATGCATAATAATGGCAAAATGGGGAGGTGTCCCATCCTCTTGGTAGGCAGCAGTGCCAATAATGCCATCTGATAATAGCTTTGGCTCAAGATATTGTTGCAACATATCAAGATAATTTTCTTCAGTGATGGTCCTTTCTGCAAAAATGAAAGGTCGATAGAGCTTAGTTATTACAGTCCATACATTAACTTTAGATCTGTCTCACTGAGATTCGTATATCACATTTGGTTGTTCATTAGCCTAGAATCGCTAGTTATGCCTATTAACATGGCCGCTTAGATGAAATGTAGCTTTGTCACTAAAGAGAACATTCTCCATTAAGTTCTCACTCTCCAGAGCTCCCAACAAATCATAACACACGGCTTTCCGAGCTGCACAGTCATCAGCTTCAAGCACAGTTCGAATGTGGTAGGCATGCTTGTTTAAATGACAGCGTAGAGTTTTCGAAACACCAAGTTCCTGGCTGAACAGGGTTGCCACTCAAACAGGAGAATGAAATTCCCTGACTTTTCCAGGTTTTCCACGTATGTTTCAAGAAAATTCCAGTCTATCCGCATAATGTACATTGGCTGTGCTAAGAGGTAAATTAATTACGGTATTACTTGTAATGTGTAGCAAATTCACTTAATTATTCAATAAATCCCAGAGGATATTTATTCTTATTCTTGGTACACTTTGTTTGATAATTTTGTTTACTTTCCCACTTAAGAAACTTAGTAAAATTTAAGATATATACGTTGGATAACAACTGTACGTTTCATTTAATTATTACTCATGATCATCACTAGTTCAACACGAGGCTAATCCGGTTCTTATAAATCACAACGCAGTGCTAAAAGTTAGGTTAGATTTTAGGTAAATTTAATTTGTGTGAGGTGTCTTCTTAAAAGGCACCTTAACAATTAAAAACACAAATATAATTATAATAGGAGTTGATTTCTCCACTGAAGATTGAGATTAGAATCTGCAGAATCTGGAATAAAATAAGGCTTTTTTTTTTTTGCAAACATTCTGCAGCTAAACGAAAGAAAGAAATCTATTTAATGATATTTTTTTAATAAATTGAGGTATTTTATATTTATTTCACAGCATACATTAAGAAAAAATATTGCATTAAATTTCGTGATGGTATGTCATCATACTGCTAGAATTAATTTCAGGATTATGCCAGAAAAAATTTCCTGAAATTTGGAAATATTATTTACTAATAATAAATAAATTTAGAGGGAAGAAGCAACATTACATTATACAAATAACATAAAAATAAAGATAATTACTTAAAAATTGAATTAGAATAATCAAAGATATTTTAGCGAATATGACTTTTCCCTGAATGTTTTGGTCAATTTCCGAATTCCCTGACTTTTTCCGGTTTTCACGGTTTTCCAGGTAGCGTGGCAACCCTGGCTGAATCTTCGTGCAGATGCCTGAGGGCTACTGTAATCACTTCTTGTACACTCTGCTCAACTTGTGGCATTATCGAAGGTCTCCCAGAATGGTCTTCACCTTTAACACTAATAGTTCACTTAAATTTGTTTACCAAAGTTTTAATTGCTGCTATGGTAAGGATTTGTTTTCTGAATTTGTGGGCAAAGTACTCTTTCACCTGTTGATACGTTAATTCATGAGCAAAAACAATGGCTTTCTTTCCTCTGTTGACAGCATTCTTTCAGACTGCCTCCAAAGAAATTGAAATTAGAACATATTTCTCAAAAATGTATAGAGACTTTATAAACACCCTGTATTGTATTTCTTCAATTTTAAAGCATATCCTTTTTTGCCTACATATGCTGACAAAAACAGAGTGCATATTAAAACCGCAATTTTTCTGAAATTATTAATTCTTCTTGCACTTATTCTTCCAAACTACCAATTTTAACTGGTACACTTTTTGCAGTTACTAAACCACTATTAACTACTAAAAAACACTGACTATATGTTACTTAAGTGCTTCATCTTCTTTTTTTAAAATTTCTTTTTTATTGTTGGTGGCACTAAAGTTAATGTCTTGGAACCAAAGGAATAAGATACACACAGAGATTTTTCAAGCATAATATTACACAGCAACCAGTAAAAAAATTCAAATTACTATGGCAGAATCATTTAAACTGAAATATAAATGGCAAAAATATCAAGTTTTCCATAAAATTCTTAGCTAATTTGTTAGCTACAACCATAAAACAGTCATTTTCACTTATTGAGAAGTCAACATTAGAAAATGGACTACGCTCTTGTCCAGGCTTGAGCTGCGAACCTTCAGAGCACCCTGTTATGCCATCCATCATAGCACAGAAGTTCAAGGAAGAAATGCTTAAAGTTTGTACATTGTTCCCACCTCATCCCCCCCCAAAAAAAAGGATTCAGAGTAAGCCATAAGACCCCCAGTTAATCATTTCTTATTCATCAATACTGCTTACCTACTTCCAATCCAGATATCAGTATATAAGAGAAATCTTTCATATGTTAGCTAACATACGGCGGGAAAATGAATTTGCACATATTCCAACTTGGACTTTCTGGATTCCCAGAAAGATTGATACTGCTTGCATCACAAGCGTATAAGAAAGGAATACATTAACTTCTTATCACAACTATTCACAGAAGCCCTCAAAGAGATCATTTTATTATGATCATGCAGATAATTACTCTGGATCTTAAGAAACTACAATTGTTTTTATTCATTTTTTAAAAAAAACTTGAGCTATTCCAAATAAATCAAAAGGAGCTTTCATAAAATGCAAACATTTCATTATGAATGAAATATAATGCAATACCACTGAACCTTCATAAAGTATTAAACTGACCCTGATCAGTTAACCTTATTTATAGAAATTACGTGTGACATAACAAAATAAATTTAAATTTAAGTGATTCAAAATATAAGCAGTGGTGAGCTTAAACATTAACTCATTGCGCTAACTGGCAAAATATCAACAAGCTTTCTTCAAAATTCAAAAACCATTAAAACTTAGAGCTACACACGTAAAACAGTGATAACTAAAATACTTATATCACTACATCATGAATATATCAATTATTGACTACAATTTCATGACACAGATAATTTTTCACTTAAATAGACATACTACATGTAAGAAACAATATCATTTGTACCTAAATCTACTACTTAGATTAACTATAAAATGACTAAAAATGAAAGATCTTATAAATGTAACAGAGCAGTGCTTTACAAGTGTTTTAGCCTAGAAATCCACGTACATCTACTTATGTGACTTATTGCAACTCACATGCACAAACTCAGTCTAAAAAAAAAAGTGTCAGAGAGGGATTTCCCAGATGAATGTGTTATAATGAAGTAATAACAAATTTATATTTATTAAATATTAACTGATAATAATAAATTTAGAAATAAATAAATATAATAAATAACCTGCTAAGGAAAACAAAAACACTTCAAAACTTTTCATGACCCACTAAAAACTTTCTCAAGATCCACTCGGGGGTGGCTGCAACCTACTCTTCATGATATACAGAATAAGACTACAAGTTTTATAACAAAGTTTGTTTCTCATGACAAAGAAAGTTTCCTATAAATGAGAAAAAATACCTCAAAATATTAGAGGGTTAAAAGATTCAATGGAATTAAAAGAATTAAAAATTTTCAGTAACTGGTAATTTTCAATAATTTCTGTTAAATTTTATACTCTGATAACTTTCACATTCAACTATGCTTCATCATATGTATCTCTTAAAAACTTCCTCAAATTTAAAATTATGTGTAAACAAAAACTAGCATTACTAAGATTTCATTTTACTGCCCTTAAACAAAATTTCTGAACCTAGGTCAATATAAAGTACTCCATAATTTACTGCTGAAAACTTATTTTGTTTAAACACTTTCTGTCACACACTTGTGAGAAACTGTAAAAATTAAATTTCATACTAATTAAAAGCAAAATTTACATTCTAGAAGAAGTTATAATAATGATACAAGTTTCAACAATACTTTAAAAATATACACTTTCTTCCAATAATAAAACAAAATCGTACTAAAAAAAATTAAATAAAAAAAAAAAATAAAATAAAAAAAAAAGACTTACGTTCGTAACTTTTTTATAAATTTGTGCAGGGCCTGTGCATTCAGAATATGGGTATTCAGAAGTAGCCATTTCCAAAATGCACATGCCAAATGCATACACATCTACAGATTCATCATAATGCTCTTCATACATTTCAGGTGCCATAAACTCAGGTGTTCCTAGGAAACAAACAAAATATCTCAGCTATTGCCACTGTCAAGAAAAGAGCTCAAAGAAAGTTCATATTTTTACTATAATACATAGCTTCATTCTTGTCAATATAGAGCCATTTTAACACCTTTTTCAAGAATTTAGACAAAAATAACACTTATAAGAAAACATATTGTACAGACTAAGCTTTGACATTTTAGGTGAATGAAACTTTTCTGAATATTACACCACCATTAGATTACTGATTCTCAAAGCAACAAAATGAATTTTTCCTTACACTGATCAAGAAATTTAAGCAAAATGAGGATTACTACATGTTCACGCTAAAGAGTCTATGATGCATGTGAAGGATGTTACTTCCTTAATCAAACCAGACAATTGTTATTTCTGCCAAACAGAAGTATACAACTTCTACCATGTAAATGTATAATATACCTGCACACTATAGTCTGTTACTTTAGAAAAGGTACTTCCCGGTCATTTTTCCTCTCGTCTTGCCATGCTTCCATGTCAGACATGGAAATGACAGTTAAGGAAAATTCTTTCCCACACTTATTCTATTTCTTTATGTTCTATTTCTTTCCTACACTTAATTTCTATTTAACACATAGCATTTCATGAATAACACATGAATAGCCTCTTTCAATAGCAAATGCTTTTAAGTAATTTAGTTCTTGAGCAGAAATACTTAAATGCAGTTGCTGTGACACAGGCTTTTCATATAACATTAATGACCCAGTAATTAAAAAATTCTCATCTCAACACATAAGCTCTTTCTAACTTTAGGAGATTGTAAGAACTATGTCATCCTTTCTTTCTTTTCCTTGAATAGCTATAAAATTGCACATATTTTACAAAAATTAAATTTTCGTGTCGTTTTCATTTAAATTCACAGTTTCATATTTAAGGATCCCGTTCTGTATATAAACTACTGGAGTTATAAACAGGATTCCTTGCCACTGTGGTTTAATTTAATTTTGGCGAATTAACACAGGCAATGAATTGGAAAGTTTCATAGAAATGTTGACTATGTTAAAAGACACTTTATGCCCAGAATAATATAAAATGAATAATAATAGTGATTTTTTTTGGGGGGGGTTGCCATAGCAGCGGGAAAGAAAGAGTTTGGAAGGACTTCAAACTGTGCTCTTCCTAAATTTTCTAATTTGATTCAGCTTATTTTTACAAGGTATTCTTACATTAGCTCCCTTATCAAACTTGAAATTTCAACTTAATTCAAAGCGTTTCTATTCTTCAGTAGCAGGATCTGCAAAGTGAACGCATATTTGGCATTTGCCTTCTAGAATAGCCTTGGAGAGAGAAAGCTGCTTTAGCATAATTTAGGCTCAAGAGATAAAGATTTTAAAATCATGGAATATAAACACCTTATTCTGCATAAATTTTTAACGATATTTAAGGCTAAAGTTTCCAATCAATGGAACTTATCAAAAAATGTGAATCGAATGAGGTTATGAAATTTATGCTCTGTGCATTGAATTGTTTTATGACTCTTTGCATTACCTTTTTTCCCCCATGGAGCTTTTAAATAAATAAATAGTTGCTTTATTTTTATTGCATGCATGTGCTGAGTCCTTTCAATGTAAATTTTTAATTTGACCCATGTTTCTTGTGTTACTTTTCATTGGCTTAATTTTTTCCCCTCACTTTTGATTTACTTTCATTGTTTATTTGGCCAGTCACCTTGTGCTTATCAAATCTTTATCGTGATAGTGAATTATTAATTTTGAGAAATGCCTCCAATGATGCTGTTTAATAAAAAGAAATGTCATCAATTCAGTTCCACATAACTTGAAGTTTGGGCTTATTACTTCGCCATCGAACTTGCAACTTGCCCATGTGTTTACATTGTAACTGTTATCTAATGAGGCAATAAAACTGTCTCGTTTTGCACGAGCATCTGCAAAAAATTCATCCTGACAAATGATTTGTCATTTTTCATTAACATCAGGGATAAGTTGCTGAAAGCACTGTCTGTCTCAGGCTAACTAGTAGCGTCATCAAAAAATTGTGACGATGGTTTGATAGCCTCTTATAAATATATCAAAATTAATTGCTAAATCGGCAAACAGTTGATACTGTCAGCTGTCAAGGAAGTTTTAGAAATGGTTTTATACCATCCAGTCACATCAAATATTCTAAAAAATCTCCCATTCAGCAATGATACAGTGTGCCGATGAATTGATGAGAATCTATTTTTAATACTATCAAAGATTATATTAAAGAGAAAAATATTCCTCTTGTGAAACATTATATCTGTTGCCACCGATAGAGCTTCTGCAATGGTGAGTCATCATAGTGGGTTCATCGCCCATTTGAAGAAAGAGGTACCAATAATTACTTTAGCTGTTCACTGAGTGATTCACAGGCAGCATTTAGTTGCAAAAAATCTCAGCGACTGTTTGCATCAGTCATTACAATACGTCATCTCTGCTATGAACAAAATTCAGAGTAATGATCTTAGTGATTGATTATTCGGGCAGTTGTCCAAGGACAATGATGAAGAATTCAATTGCTTGCTTTTACACACTGAGATTCAGTAGCTATCCAAAGGCACCTGCCTCAGTAGGTTCTGGAATCTTTGACTCCATACTTGAGTTCCTCGAAGAGAAAGATGTAGCTCTGAAAGACAGATTGCTACAATTTAAGATTGATGTTGCTTACATGACAAATTAATTTGTAAAATTCAATGAAAAAGGTGAAGCGCTCAATCTGATCACAAAAAAATCTGTTATTTCTGCCTTGCCAAAAAAAAAAAAAAAAAAAAACCCTCACTTTGTAGAAGCAGAATTTTGGTTACAATGAATTCAGCCAGTTTCCAATCTTGTCAGATCTGCATAAGAGCAGTGAAATCCTGTCCAATGAAAAAAAAAATTTAATGCCAACACCTCGAGTCTTTCCACAAGGACTTTTCTGAGTGATCTGAGGATATTTTGTTCATGGAAGTCCCTCAATGGATAACCCTTTTATGACTACTGAGAAAGCAGAGATTCAGATTAAGGAGGAACTAGTCAAACTTTCAACTAATGAAACTTTGAAAGCTAGCTTCCAGAATGGTGGTCTCACAGAAGTTTGGTATCAAAGTAGCACCATCGTCAACAAATTTTTAAATGCCTTCTCTTTCTCCTATCTTGTCGAGCGAGGATTCAGTGATGTGACTGATCTACCAAAAAGAGAAGTCGACTTCAAATTGTGGAAAGAGGGGACCTGCGCCTTCATATCTCTCTAAAAATATTGAATCAAATGTTCAGAAACTGATTCTGAAGGATCAAGCACAAGCATGCCACTGATCATGCTTGACTTTTTCATTGATATTACTTTTTTAGTGTATTTTTTGCTGTTTAGAGTACCAAATAAAGTATTGCCTGATACTGAACTGCGTCCACCATAAGCAAGGTTTCTAGATATTTTCTCTATTGTTTTGTCTACAGCGGTAAAAGTTTACTTACTTAACTTCTGATAGTATGTTCCAAGCAAGTCAGCTGCAGTTTTTTTCATCCCTGGGAATTCGGATAGTATTACATTTCTCCCATCTGCTGTTGGTCTTTACTTATGTTTTTAACTAATTTCAACTTACTTAACTTCTGATAACTTACTTAACTTCTGATAGTACGTTCCAAGCAAGTCAGCTGCAGTTTTTTTCATCCCTGGGAATATTCCCGTCCCGAAACCGGACAGTATTACATTTCTCCCATCTGCTGTTGGTTTTTACTTATGTTTTTGACTAATTTCAGCAGTTTCAAGTTGGGAGATCCGACATCGAGTCTCTTACATAGGTCCAACCAGTTTCTTCTCTTAAGCAAAGCATAAGTCCGCTTTATTTCTGAGTTGATTTTGTTCAGTTCCCGGAGATATATTAGTATTAGCCAATATATTAGTATTTTATTCATTTTTAAAGCCAATCATTCAGCTCGACAATTTCACTTCTAGCATTTTATGTAAAAAAAAAAAAGGTCATGCAATATTTACATATTTATTTTGACTTATTATTAGTTTACAAATTAAACATATATAAAATAGATTGTTAAAAAGAGCTTAGCAATGTCTTCTGACTGTGTGCACAATCCCCCCCCCCATGGTCATTGATAAAGCTCTTAAAAGGTTTTCCTCTTTTCATCGAAGAAAACATTCTGCTGTTAGAAATAACATTAAGAACCTAGTCGTGCTTCCTTTGCATCCTTCCTTCAGTTACAAAATTGCAAGAATTCTCCAGAAGTTTAATTTTCAAATCATTTTTTCACCTATCAATAAAATCTATGGTTCAGGTTTTAACCGCTTCCCTTACAAATTTTTTTGAAAAAAATTGCAAAAAAACCATCACATTTTTTTATTTTATTATTAAATACAACAAAATGAAACAAACCAAAATATGTAGGTTTTAAGTTGAATTTTTAATTTTTTGAAGGTGTAAAAGCATTTATTTTAAATATTAGTTTACTATCCCGAGTTATCTCGGGCAAACGAAAAAAAGTTAAATATTAATCTTTGTATGATAGTTTTTGAAACAAGGGACAACACAGAGTGATACCTGACGTTCTACACTGGTATCTGGTCTCTTTTCTTAATGGCTTACCGCTGGAATCTCTTTCACGAGAGCACAGAGTACACTGTCTCGTTGGATTTTTTTTTTTTTTTTCCCAACCTTTTCATAATCATTATGTGAAAAATCATCGCTTTCACTATCTTACATCATCGCCAATATTTTATTTTTTTTCCAACGCATGCATCCTTCTTTATACATTACTAATCCACAAGCCAACGTATACCATACAATAGGGAAACACGCGACCAGTCCCTCCAAAAGAACCGTGCAACCAACAAAATTTGACAAACTGCCAATCAAAGCTAAATATTTCCTTTCATTTCCTCCAGACTGAGTAAAACCGTGATAAAAGAAATCGTACTAACAAATTCTGCTTCACCCGAGTTTTCTCGGGATAATAATTAACTGCAATATATACGAACCCGAGATAATTCGGGATAATCAGGC